TTTTTTTTCGAAATTCACACTTTTTACTCACTTGTTGTTGAATATTCACAGTGTATTTACAGATATGCCTACCAAAAACGGCACATGTGCCCGATGATTAAAAGTGATATTAAAAACACACTGTTTTCGTTCTGTTTCCAGGCACAGTTGTTGTGACCCCGCACCGACCGTGCTTTCTGGCGCCGGCATATGTCTGATAGTGTTGGGCTACACCATGTTCGGCGCTTTCACGTTTATGACGTTGGAAAACGGCGGCCGGGACAGCGTGCAATCGATCCGGGGCGGTCAGCAGCAGCACCCGCAGCCACAGCCTCAGACCCAGCAACAGCAACCACAGCAACAGCAGCACAATCAACCGCAGCAGCACCAGCAACAGCAACAGGAGCACCAGCAACAGCAACAGCAGCACCAGCAACAGCAACAGTCGCAAGCGCAGTACCAACTGGCCCGAAACGACAAGCTCAGGGCGCAGACGGTCGAGAAGCTGTGGAAGATCACCGAAGACCTGAACATATTGTACCGCGACAACTGGACAAGGCTGGCCGAAGAGGAGATCCTCAAGTTCCAGGACTCGTTGATCAGGAAGTACGGGGGTCCCAATCAGACAGACCGAAGACATCGGTGGAATTTCGCGTCGTCGTTCCTGTACTCGTTGACGTTGATCACAACTATCGGTGAGTCCAATAATGTATTGACATACAAAGCCATGGAAATTTAACCTACGTGGAACCTTAAAAAAATAATCTGTTTCTCTATTATACTCCATTTACATCCAAAAAATAATAATGTAATGTATCGATATCGATTCAATTGGTCCTTTAAACATGATATAATATTATGATGGGCTTTATGATTAAAGTGTAGTGAACCATTAAACTAATCAATATTTATTTTATTATGCATCATGGTATAAATATTATTTAATCAAATTAGATAATATATAAATACATACTATASGTAGATATGTTTGTACTTTTTATGAGATTCGTATAATACAATAATGCTTTTTGCAGTGTATACATATTATTATTATAAAAGGTAGGTAGGTAGGGCATAATAGTGCATAATGAAAAATATATAATAGTTATTGGAAAATAAATAAATATATATATATATCTAAAAATTGAAATTAAAATGCATACAGTTAACAATAAAGGTAATCAGTCTGATGTTATTTAAATTTTATTTGATTGAGGCATCGATCGACTTATTTGTTAATTATTTCAATAGTAGAACCGACATGGAACAAAATAATTAATAACAAGAAAATATCATGTTGTTATACTACACACAGAATAATGAAATTGGTTTGTTTGGATGATTTCTATACACCTACTACGAGTACGTGCGTTGATTTAATACGGTCTCCGTGATTTTTTTACACTTCGAAACTTACAACAGGCAAAAAACGGTTAGGTATTAATTGTTTTGSCTTCAACTCTTGAAGTTTCCGTTGTGCATTTTGAAGTAAATCTTAGTGTATAAGGCAAACGAAAAACCAATTATAATTAAATATTCCATGTGTTATATTTGCTATTAAAATGTAATATTTAGTCAACGAGTTATGTCAAGAACAACACGTTTTTTGTCATAATTATACCAAACAAGTTACGGAGGCAAAAGCACATTTTAACCTTAATTATTCAAAATAGTTTCAARTGAATCGTTTGTAAAAGAGTTGGTACCTACATAAAACGTGGTTTGCATATTATTATGAACGTTTATAATAATTACATAAGTGATATTGTACGTAAATGTGAAAATTATTCTATGTTTTACGCTTTTACCATATTTTGCGACGGCATTGAAATTTTATTATGTTGAAATACACATGCAAAATGTCTTTTTCACTGACACGTGTCAAATCTGGACGCTTTTTCGGTGTCATTCGACGTTAATAAATCATTAATTAACTGCAAGATGTCTCCTTTTGCTGTAGGGTACTACAAATTAAAATATTTTACTGGTCAATGAACGATCTGACAAACGATATCATAATATGTGCATRACATTGATCATATTGATCGCAGTTGAATAGGTACCTAAGTAAATAATAGTTTAAACACTCACTTGGGATAAAGGAGAATTTAACTAAGTATAAAAACTAGGCTAGTGGAACTGTTTATCGAACGTCCAAAATAATAATTTTTATCCATATACTATGTTTTTAAATGGTATTTTAAGGAATAATGAAAAGAGAAATATTTTAGGAATCACTTATAGATTATTTRTTTATTTTAGGTAATTGTCTATATTTTTTTACATTGATAAATAATCGTTTAATTAATCTAACCTAATGAATCTTATATCATGTGGGTACTTTTTATTGTGGAGGAAATAATAATACTTGAATCATCGTTGCATACTTATACATAATRAATTATTAAAGTAAAAAAAATTATAAAACAGAAAAAAAATTAAAAAATAGTTCTAAATCTATGTTATCCAATTTGATTTAGTTGTTTGATGACTATCCGGTACCAGATTTTACTTATATTTTATAAAAATTATGACAAATTGAATTATATAACTATGTGTATATCTTCGTAATAAAATTTGAAAACAATGTCACGTATTCTCATTTATTAAACAGTCTTAGTAATATTAGGCTAATTTAATAATATAAAATACTCCTACACACGTTATAAGATATAATATATTATTATGTGGGCATAGGTATTAAAGATTTAATTGCGTGATGGAATGGCATACCGTCTTGAAATATGTRTATGGTTATTTGTAGTTATGAAATAGAATAAGCGCGTGTGTTTGTCATCTCTTAGAATTCAGAATTTTAATTATCAATTATACCGTTCGCAAAGGTCACAACTCTAAGTTTTAAATAAGTCTTGCAATGAGGGTCGTTTCGCGATATGAAGGAAATACAATGAAAAAACAATAATTTATTAAACAAACTACAATTTTAATCAAAGAAATAAAATGGACATTTTAAGTACTACATACATCAGCTTAAAATGTTTTGTATTGAWTAGATTTATTAGATATACAGAATCAATGAATAACTGCAGCTACGTGGTATGTCACATTGCTGTGAAAATATAGAAATATTTATTAAAAATGGCTATTAATATTGACATGGTTTTGCAGTTGTGATTAAAATGCTTCATTTCCATAAGTACATAATCTCACGGTATACATAATTTTTCCTGAAATAACACTTGTAAATTATATTTATTTATTAATTAAAATGTCCCATATGTATAGCTCTGCAAGTCAGAGCTTAAGCTATCAAATTATAAAAACTAACCTCAAATTAAGCTGATTTAAAGCAGAAAACTAATATTAATCTATTTTTTTTTAATAATAAATAAAGTTATAAATATTTTCTGAATAGGGTGACATTATTTTTGCATACATGTYAAAAATACTTTTCGAAAGTATTTAAAATAGATAGGTATTCAAATACAAGTATATACTCGAAAAGTAGGTATTCATMATTTTTATCAAATTTTCTGACCTGTATTAAAATATTTAWACATGGATATGGCTAAGATGAATAATTATTTATAAATTTATAATTTAAAAAAAAACATTGATCCGATTGATACTTAAAATTTAAAGCTTATGTCCTAGTTACTATAATASTATTTAATATTATGTAGTTATTTAAGAAGCAAAAATGTAAATGCTGTTTTMTCATTGTATCCTATAYTATACCTAGATGTTATAATTATATTATGTAGAAAGTTTAATGATGTAATAATATGTATTAAGACTTCATAGATATAATATTTTACAAATTATTTTCGTTTTAAATATTTCAAGTATAAAGTATAAAAATAAGTTTTAGAAATATGTTAAAAGTACATTAAAAAATTAAATACTTAACAGTTATAATTTACACAATTTTGTATAAATAAACTCACTATAGGTAATCTAATTATTTGTAACCCTATGCTAACTCATATATATTGTCATYAAATTAATTATTTGTTGGTAGACAGACAGATTCATTTAGTCATAAAATAGTTATTTAATGATTTAAACTAAATTAGACCGAACCATAATTTTTTTGAAATTTTTCAAACGCTCCTTACCAAACAATATTGTAGATAACTATAATTTTCAGCGTAATATATATGGGGGATATTATAATATTTATACGGTGTACTAATCTCGAAGTTGACAAATATTACCTATATATTATAATATAATTATGAATATTGCTATATTGTTCATTTTTGAAATTGAAGTTTAATAGACAATTAAAACAAAATAATATTGGAACATTATGCGCTTTAAAATAATTTTGGCTTGAGAAATAAACAATTGCCAAACATAATATATATTATTATGCAGCTCAAACGCATTAATAATTATTTTCTCTCAAATAAATTTTATTATTATTATATACCACCCAAATTATTCAGATCGTTTAACCAGTAATTTCGATTCGTATACGAAACTCGGCGTACCGTCGAACTCAGCGATGTATGTTAGAATGATATTATGATGCTAAAAAACCACATTTTTTTCTCGTTAATTTGTTTGGCGGYGGTGAAAAGAAAAACGTTACTCCATCTTATAGAAACATAMGCACATACTATCGCGTCTATACATCATTCGAGTATCTACGCGGTGAGACGTTGCTTTTCTATATTATTCTACATTTTCTTCTCCCTATCACTAACTCGAGTGTATTCAAAGTGCAGTATACATTATATGCTATAAGTATATTATATCGTTGGATAAATTACCATCACGAAAACCAAGCGCATAATAATAATAATATACATAGTGTGCGGCGGGTATTTTATTTTGCTCGCGCACTTGGCGCGTTAATAATTAATATAGGTGCCGTTCAATATTTAAGTTAAAATTTAATTAGATAAAATTAAAATTCTAGCGGTGTTCGCACGTAGAACGTGTGACGTTGTATTCGCCGACAAACAAACAATTTGCTAATCGTAATAACATTAAAACGATAATATATTATACCCCAAAATACGGAACACACCGCTCTAAAATCCGTYCMCAAAACCAGCACCGCCGTATAGCTGAGATGGGTAAACACCGTCTGATGCATTTCTCATTAATCGATTTTCGGCGACCTACCCGCGACTTTAAATTATTGTACACCACTATAATACACTGTCCTCGAATATCGCTCCATGTTTACCATGTTTTCATTGGTGGCCTGATAATATATAATTGTGATGCATCACACGCAGGACAAATCGCAAACGATACACTCGAAACGCCAAGTCAGATAATTCCAATGAATCTCGCCATCGGGTTTAAGTCGTCGTYACGTGAYGACTGTGTGTTTTTTAATTTGATTGAGACACTCTGCACTATTGTAGGTACCAATATAATATAAAGGTAGTGTATACTTTTTTCCGCATTTGGCATAACGTCTCACGACGGTGAAAAATGTATTTATTCTAATAAAATGATATCGCACGTCGTTTTGTATACATAAAGCGTCCTAACTTGTTTCAAAGGCAATTTATTTAATATATAATTTACTATCACCGTGTAAATGTAAACTTTATAATAGTTGTAGCAGAACACTGCACACTTAGGTACGTGTGCGTTTGTGCTTATACGAGTACCTATACTAGACTCGTTTTAAAAAAAATATAAGCTGCTAACTGGCTGACTTAAGTGGCACATGTATGTAGATATACTGTWCATCGATGTATATAATATA